CATGCTAATTTGCGATGACCAACGAACAAGCAATAACTAATGTCACTCCTGTTTACATTTACAGATAAAGACATTCACATCATGACCATATGAACGTCACTCACGAACGGTTCAATGCATTGGTAAATAAATCAAAGATGGAGGAGGAAACAAAAACAAATCCGGATGAAACGAGCACCTGAGGCATGCCTTATAAATCTGGTGTGAGGAAGGATGTGCGAACAGAACGGAACCTGATTCAAAACATTTTCTTGCATGATTGTGTTTTTGCGTTTTCTTTAGATTTATTCAACTTTTTCTTCATGTCAGGCAGAAGTATAAAAATACTAATAATTGCATGCAAAGATATTCTACTGTTTGATACAGGCATTTCCAGGCTTTATTTTTGTGTACTTATGAATGACTTCTGTTCAAGCAAGCCTTTAACTTATCATTGAAATGCCACCATGATTCTGGTTGGACAGTTCTTTTTGTACAGATTATCATATCACTGTATACCATTGGCTAAGGTGGCATACGATTTTATCAATCAATTAAGGGCTTTGCAAAAACGTCCTGCCATGTTTAATTTGTACATGTATTGTACATTGATGTATGAAATCACTTGAAATTATAAATATATAGTTATCTGAATGTTCTTCATACTGATGCACTTATCTCTTCAAATATTCAGTGACTTCATTTTATACTAATGTACCTTATCTGTCTCTGAGTCTACATGGCTGATTGCTTTTAATGTATGCATAGTATACAGCATGGCTTTTATTCTATGCAATATCTATACATACAGTAGAATACATCTTTATTTTAAACGTTAGCTTTTGGTTGTGTATAATTAAGCTTTAGTATTATAAGTTAGCAGAGTGCACTGTTCATGAAAAAGATGGTTTAATACATCACTGCATGAGCTCCTAACGCATATAAAGGGTCTATTAAGTGCGAATGTGAAGAGAAATTAATATAATATCGATTAACTTAAGGCATATCATGTCATTTTTAACTATTAAAATATCCAAAGTGAAATGTGTGGTGCTTTTTGTTTTATTGTGTAATCGTGACGGACATTTAGCTAAATATTACAAGCTAGAAATATTCTATTTCGTGTGGATACTAGCTGATTCGGCATCTTTGCGTGAGTGTTTATGTATTCTAAAGGTTAAAAAATTCACCCAACCATGAGGTGTTACGCCTCGCGGTCTTAAATGAAATATGTCTGTTCACCAGAGGGGGGCATCGCTGACCAAACCTGAAACTTCAGGCCTTCAAAACGTCTCTCAGTTTTCAGTTATAGACATTTGCATCAAAAAATGAGCGGTGGGGCACTATTATTACCTGTATCTGTAAGTATGTACTTTATTTGCCTAAATTGGCTATCATAACAGTATATAATGGAACGTTAATGTACTGGCTGCTGATAAATGTGACAAGACTTCTAGCCTTAAGGGCAAATCGTACTAAATTGTACGAATTCATACGAATTAGCCACTAAATCAAAAAGTTACGAATTGCCGACAGATTGCGTTGACTATTCACATTTTACAAGGTAAAATAGGCAAAAGGTATCAAATGACAGAATAAAACCTTTCGGACAGACACAAATACCTGTGTATGTACACTGTAAAACCCTCCAAAATGAGGGTAACAAACCATTTGAGGAAACCGATCTTAACAAACCGTTTAAGTTCTAAAACTAATCCTAATGAGTACTGTGAACTTAATCCATTTGAGTAAATAAAGCAATTTGAGCACAGTTAAACCCAATAAATGAAGAGAACTCAAACCAACTGTGTACTGTAAAATCCAATAAGTTAAGGTAACTCAAACCGTTTCAGAAAACCGATTGGTACAAACCATCTGAGTTAAAATACTAATCTAAATAAGTACATTGAACTTACTCCATTAAAGTTGAAGTAATGCAGTATTTAATTAACTCATTACCTTCGATACTAAATTAAAAACTCTTTTCAAATGAATTAACTTTCTGTAAATTTTAAGTTAACTACACTCATTTAACTTGATAAAGTTTACTGTTGGGTTTTACAGTGTAACAATAAATGAATGCATGCTTAAAGTGGAAAAGAAAATAATATTAAATTAATAAATCAGTTATTAAATCATATAATTACTAATTAGCTGTATTGTGGATGCATAAAACAATTAAGTTATCCCAAAAAAGCTGAAGAGGTGTGATAATTCAGCTCATTATAATAAGAGGTTTAAGCAGCAAACTTATTTTTTTGAGTGTACCTTCAACACTGAGTTCCAAACACTTTTCAGAGTAGAATGAACTTTCAGTCAATTTTGAGTTAACTACACTTATTTCATTTGATAAAGTTGACTGTTGGGCTTGTATAGATTGTGAGGAATCTCCATTGGGTAATGTATTTTTTGCTCATTATATAGCCTTACTCCAGCCTTATCCCTAATCCCAATCCTCGTGGGATACCTGTTGCAAAATTTGAATGTCAAAACACCTCATTAAGTATGATTTTTAAGTGTTTTGAATCACAAGAACACAAGTCATGTCTTCGTATACACTTGTAAGCCACCTACTACTAGGTTATACAATGTCATTCTACAATTGTGTGTCTGCCTAAACCTGTTCTTATGTCTTGGTGGGGACTCTATTAGAGCTAATTAGAGTTGGACAACATGGGAAACATAAAAAAATTTGATATTTATTTTCCATATTGAACGATAACAATATTTATTTCGATGTCAGTTGTTAATGCTACCAGATTTAAAAGGGTACCCCAACAATGACTGATGCTACAAAAATTAGAGTCTATTAAATGGCATAACATTTTTGTCAGATAAATTTTTGGTGGCCGAAAAATTGGTACTTCTCTAATATCAGCACACTTTTAGATTCTCTTTGTTGCACATTTCTGCTGTATGATTGGCTCTTTATTAATAGAGTAAAAAATTACTGAGCTTATAATTGTTATTGACAAATTTTATCGCTATTCGATGTAATATAGTTTATCAGCCCAGCCCTAGAGGTAAGATAATGTACAAACTGTATATTCTACCCATCTAAACTCATCTCTTACAGGAACCAAATAGCATTTTAACTTTTTCAAAACACCTCATTCTGTATGGTTTATAAGCATGTTCAGGTCCCCATAGTGACTCAAGTCCCCATGAGTTTGTGCGCATTAAGGTTTGAGTACCCAAAGGGATATAAAAACAAGTAGACACACACACAAACACGTCCATAGAGGAGTATAATCTCAGTTATTTCTCCACCACAGCCACAGGGATGGATGATTCCTGGAAAGGCAGCGTTTGTCACAATGCATTTTCTGCTCAAAAGGCAGAAAGCTGTCTTTGCCCAGGCCGCTTACAGATTATAGTGCCATTATTCTCTCAGTATCTAGTTTCATCAGATCACTTGGTGCCCTGACTTCACCATCTGACATGTTCTGTTGTATCTGGACCGCACACTAAAAACCATGACACTGGATGAAGCACAGGGGAGCTTAAAACAAGGGGTTTGTGGCTGTGCAGATTTGAACATGAAGCATACTGTATACTCTTGCACGAATGTATTTAAAATGAACGCTTTGAATATTTTAGACCCTTTTTATTTACTCGTGAGAATTGTCAAGGGTTGAATTTTGTGGTTGTGATACTGTTACTATGCTTCTCTTTGTTTATTCATCAAACTGATGTCACATGAAAATCCTACTGGAAAAAAAAACGAAACCGAATACAAATCACAGCTGATGTCCCAATAGACCTCTTTATTAGCGCATTTTAACTACTGTTCCACCAGTCAAACCTAGCAAAAACCAAACAGCCCTAAAAAGACATTTGTTTACCTTTTTGCTAGCATGCTAGCACTGATGTCTAACAAAAACAGACGTAACTGACAGACTGTCTCATCGTGTCTCTTCTTTTTAAAACTTGACCCAACTAAGTACCTGGATATGAATAATAAATTAGCCTCCTCTGAAGTAGCAGCGAATTATTCATTGACCTTCAGAAAGGTTGACTTTTTCCTCTTGGACACAATTAATAGTGTGAGCTTTGCTAAATCCCAAAATACTCATTCCAGATAATTGTCAACTACTTTACAGATTTACAAACTTTATATATATATATATATATATATATATATATATATATATATATATATATATATATATATATATATAACACAAAGTTGAAGTCAGAATGATTAGCCCCACCCCCCAAATCCACCCTGAATTTTTAGCGCCCCTGTTTATTTTTTTCCCCAATTTCTGTTTAATGGAGGAAAGATTGTTTTAGCACATTTCTAAGCATAATAGTTTTAAAAACTTATTTCTAATAACTGATTTATTTTATCTTTGCCATGATGACAGTAAATGATATTTTACTTGATATTTTTAAAGACATTTCTATACAGCTTAAAGTGACATTTAAAGGCTTAACTAGGTTAATAAGGTGAACTAGGCATGGTTTGGTAATTAGGCAAGTTATTGTATAATGATGGTTTGTTCAGTAGACTATTGAAAAAACATATATCTTAAAGGGGCTAATAATTTTGCCCCCCAAATTTTTTTTTTTTTTTTAAATAAAAACTGCTTTTATTCTAGCCGAAATGAAACAAATAAGACTTTCTCCAGAAGAATAAATATTATTAGATATGCTGTGTGAATTTCTTAAACATATATTAACAAAATAATAATATTTACAAAAGAAAAAAATTCAGAAGGGGGCTAATAATTCTGACTTTAACTGTGTGTGTGTGGGTGTGTGTGTAAATATATATATATATATATATATATATATATATATATATATATATATATATTTAAATAAATGTATTTAATTAATTTTAAACATAAACTGGCTTCATCCTTGCTTATGAAATTTGATCAGGGTTTAAACCGCCAACTTCATTCATTTTATTTTAGTTTTAGTCCATTTATTTAAGCTGGGGTTGCCACAGCAGAATGAACCGCCAACTTCATTCATTCATTCATTCATTCATTCATTCATTCATTTTCTTTTAGGCGTAGTTTATTTATTTAAGCTGAGGTTGCCACAGCAGAATGAACTGCCAACTTCATTCATTCGTTCATTAATTTTCTTTTCTGCTTAGTTCCTTTATTAATCAGAGTTTGCTATAGCAGAATGAACCGCCAACTTTATTCATTCATTTTCTTTTCAGCTTAGTCCCTTTATTTATCAGGGGTCGTCACAGCAGAATGAACCGCCAACTTCATTCATTCATTTTCTTTTAGGCTCAGTCCATTTGTTTGAGTTGGGGTTGCCACAGCAGAATGAACCGCCAACCTCACTCATTCATTTTCTTTTTGGCTTAGTCCCTTTATTAATCAGGGGTCACCACAGCAGGATGAAACTCCGACTTTATCCATTCATTCATTTTCTTTTAGGCTTAGTCCATTTATTTAAGCTCTGGTCATCACAGCAGTATGAACTGCCAACTTCATTCGTTCATTCATTTTCTTTTTGGCTCAGTCCCTTTATTAATCAGGGGTCGCCACAGCAGAATGAACCACCAACTTCATTCATTCATTTTCTTTTCAGCTTAGTCCCTTTATTAATCAGGGGTCGCCACTGCAGAATGAATCACCAACTTCATTCATTCATTTTCTTTTCGGCTTAGTCCTTTTATTAATCAGGGGTCGCCACAGCGGAATGAACCACCAACTTCATTCATTCATTAATTTTCTTTTCGGCATAGTCCCTTTATTAATCAAGGGTCACCACAGCAGAATGAACTGCCAACTTATCCAGCATATGTTTTAAGCAGCGGATACCCTTCCAGCTGGAACCCAACACTGGGAAACACACATACATTCTCATTCACACTCATACACTACGGACAATTTAGCCTGCCCAATTCACATATAGAGCATGTCGTTTGGACTGTGGGGGAAACGGAAGCACTTGGAGGGAACCCACGCCAACACGGGTAGAACATGCAAACTCCACACAGAAATGCCAACTGACCCAGCCGAGGCTCAAACCAGCTACCTTCTTGCTTTGAGGCTACCCACTGCGCTGCCCAAAACCAAAACATTGTACAGTAATTAAAGCATGTTTACCTTCAATTAATTATGATTTTGCTACATAAACCATACTTTAACCACGTAGTAAAAATGGGGTTATACATGGTGATCAATGCTCATGGTTAATATAATTTTACTGGTTTTTCATATGGGATTTAATTAACTGTACAAAAACAAGTATTGTTATGCTGATTACAATTTTAAGCTGTTTTTTTTCTCTTGCTCTTATATTTATTTTATCGTCTTAATCATAAACCCATGATTTGAAGTGCCACATATAGAAATATGAAAAATGGTAATATATGCAATTTACATGCATGCCGTATTTCACTTATATAAAATATGTTATACTCAAAAAAACTTAAACTATTTGTTAAAATTATTTATTTAAAATGAGCAGAAACAACACAATTTTGGATGTTTTTATTTCAAAATATGGCAAAAATGCTTGTTTACATATTTTTTTCATCCAATGGATTTCTAACTATATACAGTGCTCAGCACAATTGACTACACCCCATTTTGAAAATTAATATTTTTATCCATTTCTAAGTGAATATAGGCAATGTACTTCCGTGCATTTAAACAAAACAGATTTATTGAACAGATATATCTTTTTTAAATAATATTTTAGTCACCAAACATATTTAGAAATTGAAAAATATTACAATCAAAATACAAACTACAAAATTTTAACTAGATATTTTTTTTATTTGCTCCTGGTTTTAAACCTCTCTTAATAATATTTTTCTATAACATAAATTTGCGTGAACTCGTTTTTGAACCGTTATCGTAAGTTTTGTTAGATTTGGCTTTAGTACAGACTAATCTAATGTATATGCACAAATCTTATATTGCATAGATCCTATTAAAAATATGAATTTAAAAGATAGATTTGTGAGGGGTGTACTTATGCACATGTGCTCAAATATAACTGTAAGTATAGGATTGTTTAGGCCACCTTATTTTTCTTTACCTTGCCCAGCGGATAAAACGTTTTCCTAACGCTGCCTCATAGTTACCAGAACGTTTTTTTAACAAGAGCCTAAAAGAAAAGGTTTTGTGAACAGCCTCTTAACCTAAAGGGAATGTTCTGTTTACGTAAAGAAAACTTTCCTATAGCCAACCAACAAGGGAGCATTCTGGGAATCCGAAATGAACATTCCCAGAACGCTCTGGGAACCAAAATAAGAAAATTGTTAGCTCTGTGTGAGGCTAACGAAAGCGATTTCTCGCACATTCACGGAAAATAAGCGTGCTTCTGCTGTGGAAAAACAGACTGGAGAAGGTCATGTTTGTTTAATTATTTTTTGGTCTTGATAATGATCCTAAATATCCTGATGCAACTGTTGCGATAGTAATTTTCCCCAGCAAACAAAATTATAAACGGTATGGTGAATGAAAAGTGCTGTTGAACTGTGTGACTTACGTGTGTATTCATACATACATACTTTATAATACTATTTTGAGACCATCGCACCCTGATGGTGTGATCGTGTGTGATCCTGTCAAGCCAACTGGTAAACAATACCCAGCTGTCAGCATGGAATAATACCAATTGTTTTCCATAAGGTATCATGACGTAATAGATTTAATGACGTAAAACGTTACTTTTGTCATTCATAACTATTTGATATTAACAGATGAAAATGCACGTCGGTAAATCCTTTGCTGAAGGTGAGCAATGTCATGTGTGTGTGTGTGTGTGTGTGTGTGTGTTTTTTTTTTTTTTTGCTACACCCCTAACAGTCGGTTTAGGTGGTGCGTGCTTATTTGCTGTCTGCGCTTCTATGGCAACGTAATAGATTATCCATCCCCACGCATGTTACCACAACTGAACTAGACATCTTTTGCACATTGGATTACAGATGTGTCAACGTCCGGGGGCTTCGCAAGTGCTGTTTCCAGAGTACTTTGAGAAGGAGGATGCAATGATTTGTCATTGAGACGCGCGTCAAATTGTTTCTCATTCAGACACGTCCGTCCGTCGTCCCCGCATCCAGTGTGCGCGCTTTGAATCCGCGCTCTCGGCGTCGCGTCTAGTATTACAGATGCAGCGGGATGCATATTTGTGCATTCATATTTTTGACGACCTATTTTTCAGCCAGCGTCGCCTCTCAGATGATACCGACTGTCATTTGTTCTGTTGAGGTGGTCGATCACAATGCATAGGGTGCATTCTTCCATGCGCAAACGGCTCTATAGCTTGCCACATCAGTTTGGACACAAGGGTGCTATGACTCGAGACGGCGAAGATAGCGACAAGGACACTCGGAGGAAAAGTGTCAAGATGAAGCATTTTCCTTCACCTTCCTCCACGGGGAGCTCGAAAGGTGTCTGCGAGGCCAAGAGCGGGGACGCGGAGACCGATGTGGGGAGACCCTTCAGAACCAACGTGAACGGCGACTGCCGGAGGTTCAGGGGCAGCCTATCGTCCCTCACCAGTCGGCATGCTGCTCCAGACGCGGATCTGGCCGAGCAAAGGCGTCTTATCGGGGATGCGAGCCCGGAGGACGACGGCCCCTCGGAGCAACCGGGACCCGGAGAGAGCCCGGGCGCGAAGGGCGGTCGCGGCGATGGGGCACAACAGGCGCCCTCTGAAGAGCAGTCGACTTTCGTAAAGTTGGAGGGTATCGATCAGATCCTGCCGGACGATGAGAGGATGTACCAGGCGGGCTTCATGCACAGGCAGTTTGGAGCGATGCTTCAGCCCGGGGTCAACAAGTTCTCGCTTCGAATGTTCGGGAGCGAGAAGGCAGTGGAGCACGAGCAAGAACGGGTCAAATCTGCAGGCTTTTGGATCATCCACCCGTACAGTGACTTCAGGTAATCCCCCCTCTAATTACTGGCTATGCGAATGTTGCCATCAGTCCTCAGGCGAGCTCTCCAAACGTTGCTCACGTGCACGAGCAGATTAAATAGCTATCTGTTTCAATTATAGATTTGTTTTCACAAATTTCTGTGTCCTTGAGCTTGCCTTGGGTATTAAATCAGGGCCATGCTGTCTTCACTGTCCTCACCTGGCTAAATTGACCCCTTTCCTGTTTGAATGACATTGATATCATCAACATAATGCAAGGGCAAACAGATCACCAACGCCACCTGCCTCGCGTTTTTGTGATTGTTTGGCATTCAGTGTGTGAAACTTTCACTGCAGCAGTCAGGCAAGCGCGCTGTCCCTAATCTCAAGTCACACAATCGTATTTATCGGATAAACTTTAGTTGTTCTCATGCGATGCTGCTGCTTCCACTCAGGCAGAGCTGTCCGTTCTGCACAGGCTGGGAATAGGGTGATCAAAATGGGTTAACACGACGACGGGCATTATTGGGAGCAAACATCAGAGAGGATTACCACAACACAATTTATTTAATGGCACTCTGGTCGGTGTGAGCTGGAGGGGGCTGTACTAACAGTCAGGTAGCCTAGCTGAAATGGACCACATGGCCTTCGCACTGGCAGGACGGCATGTAAGCCGAGCGGTTATTCACTCCTAATGAGTGATTGGCAGATTGTTTTGGATATCAGTTGAAATAAACGTTGTGATATCAGGGTCGAGCTACAGTAGTAGTGCAAAGGGGGACAAGAAGAGCTACAGTTTGGTCATATACTCACCCTTGTGATGTTTCAAACCTGTATGACGTTCTTTCTCTACAGAAGAAGACATTTTGAAGAAATTATTTTGTCCATACAGCGGAAATCTGTGCGCTTCAAATATCCATTATATGTTGTTTTTACAAAAAAGGAAACATTTTACAAAATATCTTCCTTTCTGCACCACATGTTATACTCTGTGGGTTTGGAACAACATGATGTTAAGTAAATTACAATACAATATTCATTCAAAACAAACAAGGAGGGTCCAGATGGATTTCTTTGGACTCTTGCTGTTTGTTTAAATTGAATCATTTCTAAAATTCTCTAACCTTAAGCTTAATAACTTTGTATGGATGAAAAAAAGAAAGTATTTTCTCCTCCAAATGCCGCAACCCTGCTGAAAAATCCAACTTAACCCACCCTTGGATGGTTGCCTGGTTTTAACTGGTTG